ACCTTAGAGTCATTTGCAAGAAAACCCCTCCCCGCAATTAATCTTGCATATTTCAAAACTATTAGTAAACAAAAGCACTAGATGTTCTTCAGTTAGAAGAAATTTAGATGCTTAAGTAGATCAGTATAGATTCATTCTCCAAAAATAGACTGGAAAGGGGGTTCCTGGATGGCTCAGTCGGTTAAGCATCTGCCTTTGGCTCAGGTCATGATCTCGTGGTTCATGGGTTCAAGCCCTGCATTGAGCTTTCTGCTGTCAGCTCAGAGCCCGCTTGGAATCCTTTGTCTCCCTCTTTCTCTGCCCCTCCCCTGCCTATACTCTCCCCCTTTCAAAAAATGAATAAACATTAAAAAATTAAAAAAAATAGACTCGAAAGAAAGTATTGGGACCCAATGATCAGTTATGTATAAACTTTTCACAAAGACAGTTTAAGTCAGCCCATCCAATAAAACTTTCTGCAAGGGTGGAAATATTCTATAGCTGCATTGTCCCAGATGGTAACCACCGGCCATGTGTGTTATTATACATTGAAATATGGTTAAGGCAACTGAAATTTTACTTTTACTTAATTTTAATTTAATAGGTACATGTGGGTGCCCCTGAGTGGCTCAGTCGTTTAAGCATCTGAGTTCCACTCAGGTTATGATCTTGTGGTTCGTACCCCTCATTGAGCTCTGTGCTGACAACTCAGAACCTGGAGCCTGCTCCAGATTCTGTCTCCCTCTCTCTCTCTCTTCCCCTTCCCCACTCATTCTCTCTCTCTCTCTCTCTCTCTCTCTCTCTCTCTCTCTCCCCCTCTCTCTCTCAAAAATAAACAAACGTTAAAATTTTTTTTAAATAGCCACATTTTTTTATTTTTTTTTTTTATTTACATCCAAATTAGCTAGCATATAGTGCAACAATGATTTCAGGAGTAGATTCTTTAATGCCCTCTCCCCATTTAGCCCATACCCCTCCCACAACCCCTCCAGTAACCCTCTGTTTGTTCTCCATATTTAAGAATCTCTTATGTTTTGTCCCCCTCCCTGTTTTTATATTATTTTTGTTTCCCTTCCCTTACGTTCACATTTTTAAAAACAGCTACACTCTTCTAAAAAGGTCGGACCTTTTTAGAAGAGTATAGGTTAAGTAAAACAATGAAAATATTATACAACTAGCAAAAAGCAATATATTCTGCATATCCATGCAGACTTTTGAATCAGAGTTTGAATCAGATCTTTGTTTTTCATCTCTTACCCCAAGCCCCACCAATATTTTTAAATATGATTCCCATAATAATCCTGATTTCAAATGGCCTCTGTAAGAAATAAAATATCCCTGCCTTGTCAGTAAGGTGGAGGACAGGTTATATTAAAGTATTTCACAGTAGTTATTGCTTCCTCTAACTGAATATTTCATTTGATATACATCCAGATCTATCTTGGTTATTTTTTTAAAAAACAGAGCAAAACTCAAATAACATGTAAAAATAATTAATCTAGCAAGACCATACTTGCATTGCATTGCTTAAATGAAGTATAAAATAGTAAAATTTTTACCTTGTAAATAGTTTAGCCATAGTCAAAGCCTCATTTAGGGATGTTTTAGTACTGGTGATGAGAAATTAGAATCAGAAGAGACCTTAAACCCATATCTATGACAGCAGCAATTGAACTGATTGATTACAACATCTTCTTTCAAACAAATATTGATTTAATCAAGTCTGCATTCCCATTGGCCCTAATGGTGGTCTTGACAGAAGCCTAGACACTTGAAACTGGCTAACTCCTGTTTGGATATAAATATTTTAAATGCATGGCCATTCAGTCATAATCATTATTTTTCATCAAACCTTTATTCCTCTTGATTTTCTAACCTCCTTAGTAAGTGCTTTTATGCCTTCTGTAAAGTTGAGTGTTGTGCGTGTCTGTCTATGAATGTAAGAGAAAGAGATGACATAGATTTTGGGGGGAAAAAGTTGTATTTGCATCTGTTGTTTCTGATTCACAGAGCTGGGAATGAGGTGCTCTTGCAGACAGTGCACGGAGCTAAGATATCAGTAGGCAGTTTGCTGTAAGCGCATGTTCAATTATTAAAATAGTCGACATTTTACGTCTGATAGCCATAGCGAGGTCATGGCATTAATTTATCCAGAGTATTGTGGGCACAGTCTAGAAAAAAAAATAGCATAAAGGACAAAGATGCTGGAGAGCTTGAAAAAAAGAAAAAAAGAAAAAAAGATGGGTTTGAGCAAACAGACCTGAAGAGATGACCAGTTTAATACAGGTAGAACAGGAAGGAAGAAGTCAGCAGGCATCTCTGTTACTGACAATAAGTATTTTAAGCTCTGCTGTACACGCATTAATTTCTGTTACAGTTGTTCATTAAATTCTGAACTTGAACACAATTCCTGAATCTTGAGGTTCTGAAATCTAATTTCATATGTTATTTGTTGCTTCAGTGTTCGGTGATTCTTTGCTCTTTACTTCCTGTTCCTTTCTTCCCCTCCTTCATCATTCCCCTCCCTCTTCCTATTTCTCCATTTCCTTTTCTTTCTCCTTTTCTTATGCTTTTCTTCCTGCCTTTCTCTCTCTCATGAGAGTGTGTACTTAATTCCATGTTTTCTTTGGGTGCCCCCTTCTTTCATTTGTGTTTTTTTGTTTTCTTTTGTTTTGTTTTGTTTTTGCACTTAAGTTTTTCTTTTTTCTTTTCTTTTCTTTTTTCTTTCAAATCAGGAGCCTGTCGAAGCTGATTTCAGACACACATCTCCTGCTTCAGAGGCTTCTTTCTCTTTATGGGTTGTGTGATGTTTTCTTTGGAACCTCTGCAAATGGTTGTGCTTCGCGCTTGTTGCCACAGATCTGTTGCCAAACTGCTACCTTAGTTGGTCCTGCAGTGCTGCAGTGCATGCTGGGATCTGTCTGTGTGAGTAAACTGAAATTTCTACAGCACCAGACAGCATTACCGTTGGCTTGCGAATGGCCGTACTTTCCTTTGTATGTAATTCTTGTATGCTGCAGAGTCATCGATGGCTAGTTCTGTCTGGCAAGTAATTCAGAAATAGTGCGCATGTAGAAAGGAAAGGTAGGCAGTTTACCACATTTTGTCATTAAAAAGAACCGCCGAAGAACAAAGGAACTGGATAAATACTTACATACCGTCTTTCATGTTGTGAAACACTGTAGCATAAATAGAGTTGTGTTCAGCCAAATATTTTAGACCCTTTTGTAACAACGTATATAGTAGACTGTTTTCATATATGTACACAAATCCATATTTTATGTAAGCATATATTCAATCTCTAATAGTTACAGCCTGCAAGCGTTTTTTAATCCTAAAAACTTTTACACATTCACCACCACACAGCTATTTGTTATTATTTTTATAAGTTCTTAAATCAAATAAAAATAAAAAATATACCAATATCCCGTTGGTTGGTTTTATTGCAGCAAATTAGGATTTCAACACAGTTTAAATCATATTGATGACTCAGATCCTGGCAGATCTTATAATTCCTGCGAACTGAGAACACAGCTAATAAAAATATTAAGCAATTATTTTTATTAAAATTGTAGTTTTGTTCATTATTAAATAGAAATGATTGATCTATGCAGATGGGTCTCACTCATGTGTCCCTTGGGCTCTTTGGGGGCTTCATATAGAAGTGGGAAGACTCCTTTTGCTCTTTCTCCAGCCGGGTGGGGGGGGGGGGCGCCGAAAAAGAAGGCATGGAATGAAGTCTAGGACTGTTCAAGAATTGCTGGCGTTATCTCTCTATCACGTGTGAGCCTGGCTGCCTGTTTTCTGAGGTAGTGGATCCAGGATGAGACTGTGTCGGAGCCTGTGTCCACAACTGCATTTGGAGATCTGTCTTATTGATTAGAGGGGAGAAGGGGTGGGGATCCGAGTGTGAGGGGAGGGGAGGACCAACTGACTACTGGCTCATTGAAGCACAGGACATTTTCTTCCGGAAAGATGTCAAACAACTGAGACATAGCCACAGAGGAAGTAGAAAGGTAGAAACATAAGGAGCCCCTGGAAGAAATGAAGGCATTTCTTTATGAGAGTCTTGGGGCTTTTTCTTTTCACTCCTTTTCTTTCTTTCTTTTCTTTATTTCCCCCCCTATCATCTGACCTGCAAAGGCTAGAGTGACAGCGTCATGCAAATGCTGCAGTCCCGCAGGTCTGGGAGAGGGTGGATGCTAGACTGTGAGTTAATGTTAATGATGAGCGCAGTGAAAATACCAGCCGCCGCCACCCCCTGCACACAGAAGCGCTCTGAGTCAGCATCAGATGCTTTGCCTCGCCTCTCGCTGGGTGTCTGTATGCCTGTGCGCGCGCGTGCTCGCTCGGGCATCCGTGTCTAGCCGAGGGGAGGGGGTGGCGTGTGAGTGCGTGGAGGGTAAAAGCCAGTCAGTCAGTGAGAAGCAAAGGTACGTTGGAGAGCAACTAAAATCTGACTGATTTCCATCTTTGGAGCATCAGATGTATTCCCTAAGGAGGATGGGTCTCCGTGATGGGGGTGGTATAATTATGTTAATGTCATATTTATGGAGGGGTGAGATTTTTCATTCTAATAATTGGTTGAATGCTATGGTCAAAAATTGTAAAGCCATATTCAGTTTTAAGGAAAAGCATGGACTTATATCTAAGGACTGTTTTATTTTTTGCTTTTTGTGAGTGCTGCTTTTTTATTTTATTTTTTAACTATTTACTATTTTAAGCCATAACGGATTCAGTATGGAAAATCAAATGATAAACAGAAAGAGATCTTATATAATGATGCATTACATCATGGAGCAGAATATTTAAAGTCTTGCAAGGCAAAGTAAAGATCTGGACAGGGGGTGGGGGGTGGTGGTTTGGAAAGGGGTGTGGTACTAGGGTGGAGGAGGGGGGCCAGTTAGCAAATATTTTGTTCAGCTTTCCTTGCAGCTTACTTGGAAATGGATGATTCACCTGTTCTACAGGAAAACATTCTAATTCTTTCCATTTTTTTTCCTCCTCTTTTCCCTTTTAAGATCAACCACTTCAGAAGAACCAGATTCCACTTCTGTGGCCAGGACTTTTATGTTATGGCTGGTCCGATTGTTATACACTGCGTTTTATGCTACTAAACCTTGGATCATTCCTAAAGTACCAATTCTGTTCTTGAACCACAAACAAGGCTAAAAGATCGGAGGAAATTCAGTGAATATGCAGGATTGGGATTGTGTATTTTCAAAAGTATTGAGCTTTATAATGCAATTATTTAAGAAATAGAATCTTTTTTTTTTTCTTCTCATGTTGCCAGCATTTTAAGTTACATGTTTATTAAGTGGCATTGCTCAAATAGCTACAGAGTATGCATGGAAATATTTGCTGTCTGAATAGTTTGGAGATTCAAAGAGAAAAATCAAGCTTCAGAGGTATTAAGTTATAACATGCAAAAAAAGTTTTCGTTTTATTCTTAGCTGCAACAGTATATATTTAAATCAGATTTAAAGTGTTATATGTCCTTGGCCCACCTTAACAGTTGTACTGTAAAGAAGTGTAATGGGAAGCAGAATTTCAATTAGAGTCCCATTAACTGGCATATAATCCTTCTTTAATGTAATAGAGGCTATGGTGTTTCTGTACAAATCTGCTAGAAACAGATTTTAACCCATTTTTAGTCTCTTTCTTTGGATCTGATGGAATGACTCTTAACTGTTCATTGTCTGCATTGTTTCTCATATTCTTCATTATTTTAAGGTCTGGAATTAGTCTATAAATGGTCGTCGTGAATATTCAGCTAATCCTAACTTTTATATATCCTATATATTTCTACGTATGTATTTTAATTAGTATTTAGAGGAAAAAGTTTAACTGAACCCAACTGTAATTTCTAAACTAGCCTTATTACTGGAAGAAGAATTCTACCGCATCAAACCAGACTTTTCCTAGTCCCTGAGACCCTAACTTGTGAGGTATTTTAGTAACATCACAAGTCAGGCTCTTGGGACCTAGGCGGAGGGGAACCAGCAGCTTTGGACCTTATTGATTGTCTGCAGTTACCACCAGAACAAAAGAACATACATAGATTCTGCCTAGGAGAAAAGAACAATGCTTTTCTTTATAATCAGCAATGTTTTCATCATGACCCACCCCCAAATATACTATTTTCAGAAACTGTACTCAAAAGTGATTATAGAGTTGCACTGAGTAGCATTTGTATTATATTATAAAGACCATATGAAAGCAATAGAAGATAACTATGTGAGAAGCAAAGTTAAAATACAGGTGTTTTTAAAATGCTTCTTTTAATGTATTTTGAGAGAGTCTAAGAGAATACCTCCTTAGTTAATAAGGAAGAGAGTGGTTTATATTTAAAACTTCTTTCATATGCATAGAAATATATACATTAGCTACTTACATAAATCCTATATGTCTCCATGTAATTATGGCTCAGAATATGTAATGTATAGCTATAATCATGCTTGAGGCCTAGAAATAAATCATTTACAATCTTCTTTACTGACCCTATTAGTTTTTACTACTGATTTAAGGAGAATGCTATTTTATACTTGGTATTTACTCCCAGAGTTTTCCTTAGTCTTTTAACCAGACGAAATACTTTATATGCCATATTTTAATAAGGCATACTCTGGTTGTAAGAGTCATCAGTAATTAGCAAAAATATGGTACCTTTTCGTCTTTACATTTTACTTTGTATATATATCATGAACCTATGTGAGATAAATCAGTAAACACCACCTATGAAGTCAGACTGCTCTATTCATGTGTCAACTGAATCTGAACTGCATAGTTTTCGTTTTTTAAGAATTTCAGTTTTATAAACTATTCCAACTATAACTACCATGTCATATTTGAACATTATTAGCCATTACCACATCACATATTTATTTCTTGTAAGTGGAATCAGTATATTAAACCCCTTTACAGATTTTACAATAATATTGCAGATACTAAGATTCAAAATGGAGATGACAGACTTTCCATAATAGAAGAACCGAAATGATTTCATTCTCTTAACTCTAATGCTTTACATGGGTGCTATAAATTATATGTATCTTCTGCATTGTTAAAATAAATGTATGAATGTACTTTAGAACACTGTATGGAGTCTTTGTTCACCTTTTCATTGGATTTATTACAATTACTCATGTTTGAAATATCCCAGGATCCTAATCACCCATGACTTGTATTTCCTGAAAAATTGATACTACAATATTATAAACATATTCTTCATCTATACAAGCCACATAGAATATGTTTAAGCATGTGTCCACACTGTACCTATTCAGATTCCTTATTTATATCACCTATTTCATTTATCTAGAATCTCTGAAATTTTAAGTGTGTATATGTGTGTGTATAAACATAGGTTTTAAAACTCCATCTGAAAGGAGGTAATATAAACAGTGAAGATTTTTGGTAGTATTGATCTTTTACTTGTTTTAACCACGTTTTCATTATAATTAGACAGCTTTAAAAGCACAAGTTTCTCAATTCAAAGAACTCTATGTGTATGTATCTACAAGTGCATAGAGACTTGATTATATTTAATAGCAATGTTTATATATCCGATCAGGAATGACCTCATATATAAAACAATGTCACATACAGGTATATGTTTGCAGACACCTGATTCAACACAATCATAAATAACACGTAAAAGGTGTTTCATAAATTTACTTCTAAAATAATATAAGGGATGATTGTTTATTGGCTATAGTGATATCAGATATAAGCTATTTCAAATGCAATATTTTCTATGTTATTATATCTATGAACTGCACTATATATTAACTTCTGTTTCATAGAAGAAAAATGCCAGAGCTGAATTTAGCGTGCAGTGATGTTTATCTTGCTTTTTTACTAATCATCGTGCATTCGTTGAACCCTCTCAATGTAACCTTCCTGCATATAAACTATCTTTTCTGAGAACATCATTGATAAAGCTTTTCTCTTACTCCATAAAGGTGAGTAGAGATATAAGTGGGTGACTTTGTTTATATAAAACTACTTTATGCTGTATATGGATAGATGAATGCCACTTTTTCTGCATTTCTACCTAAGCTGTCACAGAATAATATTGTTTGGGGGGTATAAAATATGATTTGGAAAATCAGATCATACTAAGCTTAAAATAAAAGGAGAGGTCTACAACAAAGAACGAGAAAATTATGTGTGTTGCATACAAAAAAAAAAAAAAAAAAAGCAGTGATATTAACAATTCGATGGCTTCCTGGTTGGGAGACCAGCCTGAGCCAGACGCATATATTAAGAGCTGTCTGCTGCCGATGTGAGCTTGCTCAATGCGGTGGAAATGAGGAATCACCTCCTCTCTGACACCAGCTTATTTTCACATTTTAATTTTGAAATAGCAAATCACTGTTTTACATAAATATACTAACCTCCGCTTGATTCTTATTCTTTTCTCAGATTGCTTGTTAATTTACTATGAACTTCAAGTTCCTTTTTTAAAAATCATCACTCACTTTAAACTTATCAGTTTAAAATCTATCAAAGACCAATGAAGTATTAGTTTTTTTCTGTCTCTTTTGTATTGCTCTGTTAATATTGTGATACTCATGCATTTAACTTTTAATCTCTGTAAGGAAAATGTCAATTTTCCAAAATGGCATTTTTTTTTAGGTCTTTTAGGATCCATCAAGGCAGTCACTTCTGGAATTTTGCCAAATCTAAATATGATTATATTTCATTGCAGGGTTCATGGGATCAATATTTTTCTTCGTATGAAAGTCCTTAACACTTTAGTGTTCCAGAAGCTAAAGAAGAGGTATATAGAGATATTCTTAAGTCATTTAGGCTTTAGGCTACATTAATAATCTCTAGAAGAGGTATAAGTATCACAGGGGAATTATAGTATAAGTTAATTACTAATGAAATCAGAAAAGGTGTATACTGCCTTCCATTCTCTTCCAAATGGGCATGCCTAAGTTTGGTCGAATTCACCTGATAAATATGTAAATGGTTTTACAAGCTGTCATATTTGGATAGGTTTTGAGAAAACAGTACGTAAAGGGTTAGCTAACGCCCAAGTTTTCTTGCCATTTACACATGCAGTGCTGCCTACATTTCCGTAGGCAGCAAGCACAGGCATCATTTTGATTACTTGGATTCTTTTGTTTAATTTCTTACTAGACATTTAACTCGGTACTCAAATTCCACTGATCTCTTAGTAACTGTATTTGGAAAAGGAAAATGAAGTTTCTAATATAGAGAAGTTTTAAAAAATCCTGGGCATTTGTAAGCATCTGAAAAATAGACTTTTTCGTGTAGCTATGCAAATACATGTTTAGTGTGCAGAAACTTAGGTGCTATTATTATCTGTCATCTCCATACTTAGTTTTCTGATGATTTGTGGTCAAATACACACTGAAGCACATATGCATATATTTATTATATATGTATATATCTTCATTTGTAAAAAGTCTCAATAAAATCAATGTAAAAATTGACATATTGTCATAAAATCATCCACAGCAGCTTTTCAGTGAGTTAGCTTCAACTTTCATTGCCTTTTCCCCAAATCTCTCTTATGTTAAATGTAGCTTTACCGGATGAAGTGCCTTACTATCCGGAACTGTTAACTTGTATGTAATGTTTTACTTGTGGAAGTTTAAAAGCAGGTGAAACTTGAAGGTAATGATATTAAGGGAATGTAAGATTAAATAGTTTTGTTTTTATAATCAGTCAGCTAATTTCATGCATGTTTTATGGGGAATTTAAAAGTGAAAAATTCTCATATGGTGACATAAATCTTTCATTGTTCATATAAGTAGTGTGATTTTAAGTTTGTTACCTTAATAGTTGATTCCTAAAAAAGTGTATGAATAATCATGGACTGCATATCAGTTAGGTTAATGAAATAAGAATAGTGACTTCCACTTTGCATCTTAGTCTTTTAAGGTATTTTGGCTTCTTTTATGCAGGTGGATTTAACCATTCCTTTTTTCTAAGAAGTTTCTCCCTCTCTGTTGGTAGGTGTCTGATGATTTGTGAGCACCAAGTGACTATTCTGTGGAATCATCTTTCCTTGCCATTGAATTAGCTTTCCCTAGGCCATGAGTCAACATCAATGTTTTGTACATCCAAATTGGTAGGTCTTTCTTGAAACCCTTCTATTTATTTTCCTATACATATAAGTGAATGTTGAGAAATTGTAGACTTACATTGTGATTCTCTTTCCAGTTTCCAAACATCTTCAGTAAGAGAGTTGGATCGTGTTGAAACACTAGACGGTGGGAGTACTTGGTTCTGTAGGATCCAAAACTGTAATGTCTTTCTCCTAGTAGACTTCGTCTTCTTAGTGAGGAGAGGGCAACCCAGCTGTGGCTAAGTTATTACTCTGTTATATATCACACTAGAAACCCAGCCTATGCATTTGTAAATGGTTTCTACATGAGACAACATTTTTTGTTGGAGGATTACACTACAGTCGGTTCACTTCACTTCTGTCTCTCTTCCTGCTCCCCCCACCCTCCCACAACATGGAGTCCTTTCAACTTCTTCAAAGAAGTGAGGGAAAAAAGTAGACTCTTTATTAATGGCAGAAAACAAACTGGCTGCTGGACTTCCGAGACAGCCTTCTAATAATAAAGCAGAGTAGGCACTGCGACAAAGAATTCTTGAATGTACTAAATATATAGGGAAGCCTATTTAAATTCACCAGAGGGGCTTAGAGGACAAGCAGCAGAAAGTTTAGAATTCAATTCAAGCCATGCCAGAAAATGAAAATGTACTTAAAAAAGGATTTCTGAGACAATTGTTCAAAGACATGTCAACTTTTAAGGTTCTTTCTAGAATAATGAAATTCGTACTCTAATTTCTGTGGTGACTTTTTCAATTAGAAAGGAAAAATGATTAACAGGATCTCCAAGGAATTGTATCTTATGTCTAAAGAAAATGTGTTTTCTTTCCATAGGGTGTGCTCTATTGAGGGCCACCTAGTGCACTGACTAAAATCACTTAAGTATATACATGAAACAAAGAGATAATGTATTTTTCAACAATTAGACATACCATAGCAGAAGTGCTCTTGCTACTTTGGGAGAAAGATATTCAACTTATGTCTTCTTTTCAGCTCATTTCCTCCCATTCATTTCTATGATTTATAATATTTTAAATAAATGCAATAAAGTGATTCTGAAAGAACAAACTGCTGATAAATAGTTAGACTGTATGATGCTACATTTGAAAGATAAAAAATGATCCCTGCCATATCTCTTACTGACTTTAGGAAATGTTCTTTACCCTTGATTTATCTACAAGACAGGTGCATCTATAAAGAGTATGCACATCTATAAGAATATATACCTTATTAGTCCTAATGTTGAGATAAGCAACTGCTTATAAAATCCATTTAAAGGCCAGTATGACCTATTCAGGACTGAAATTTCTAGCAGCTTTTCTCCTAATGTTCTCCTTTAGAATTGACACAGATATTGGGAAAAGATTGTCATTCTCTGTCTCAGGAATTACAAGTTGTAAAGAGGATAGAAATTTGGACTCACTAGTAACACATCATTGTTGCTGTTGTGGAGAGACCCTGCTTGAGAATGAAACTCATGTGGGATTTGCCAGTTCATAAATATAATTTATCAACCCAAAATGAGCTGGTAATCCATGAATTTATCCATTTATTCACAAATGTATACCTAGCTTAAAAAAAAATCTCAGTGAATTAAGGCAACATCAACATGTGGGATCACTGTGGTCAATTAAGACTTGATCATTTAACAAATTTTACTGGCTTTAAAATGAAATGTCAGATGTATGAATATTAGCTATAGAATTTTAGATATTATGATAAAAAGTAATTGTTGCCCTCAATGCATTTAGATGTAGCCTGAGTCATTTACCAAACAACTAAACTGATTTCCATCTATTTAAGTTTTTTTTAATTTTTCAAAAAGATTTTTGGGGGGAGAGAGTAAGTGCATGCATATGCACACAAGTAGGGGGAGAGGAAGAGGGAGAGGAGGAGGAGGAGGAGGAGGAGGAGAGAGAGAGAGAGAGAGAGAGAGGGAGAGACTGTTAAGCAGGCTCCACGCCCAGCACAGAGCCCTATGCAGGGCTTGATCTCATGACCATGAGATCATGACTTAAGCTGAAATCAAGAGTCTGAGCCACCTAAGTGCCCCCATTGATTTAAGTTTTTATGACCTTTTAATATCAAGGGCTTGTGTAGACTTAATGATTGATCAATAAAATAATCTGAGTAAATTTCTTAGCCTAGTCTTTAGCACCAAGAAAACATTCAGTGAATATTAATTTCTTCCTGTTTGGGTCTTACTATTTGCCTTTGCTATACAGACTATCGTTTTCATCACCCAAATTTACTGGGCGTACACTGTCCCAAACTGTGAGAGGCAAACATCATTGGGAAATTATTTCAGATCCAGGGGCACTTAAAAATTATTTACTATAAATGTGTTTATCATATGCTTTCTGAGTGCCACCTATAGGATAGAAAAAGAGATATTCTCGTTTCAAATAGCTTATGGTCTACAAAAGATATGTCTTATTTAACACTCTTTGTCCTTTTTGTGTGCCTTAGCATTTCATAAGTCTTGTAATTTGGCAGTTTATTCTCTTATACTTTATAGATGAGACTTCTATGTGGTGTGTCCTATTTTATAGTTGTAGCTGAAATAACTACCCATATACTTTGAGTTGCTTTGGGCAAGATATGGGGTATTGTTAGGATTTTGCAGTGCTTATGTTCTGTTCTTATGATTCCCTATACTATGCAAAGGTCTGGTGATTAAAAACCATAGACCATGAAAATGTTAATAATTATGGTTTATAAAAATGCTATTTCCAGAATAATTGGACCAAAATGCAGTATTTACATATGACTTCAATCCCTCTTAAAAAAGCTATTATTTAATTTCTTTTTTTAAGTGAATTAATACAATAACATTGATCATTCAGTTTCATAAAGTAGCAATTACATTACTTAGTCAAAGGACCAAAGCATTCTAATTGGACTGTTCTCTGGGAGTTAACAAAATATGCAGAATAAACTTGGAGTTTTCCACCTTTGCATCATAAGTGCCACCACTGAACTTGAATAGTGAAGTAGAAGGTAGAAGACCACATTCTAATACAAGTTTTACCATTAGTTATCTTGTGGAACTGAACCTCTCTCCTTTTCATTTTCCTCATTTACAACTGATTTATAAAATAAAGATGTGGAGGAAAATGATTATAAAATGATTTCAGGAAAAAAAATTAGTATCAGATTAGACAGTTGGGTATTTTTCCATTCCACAGGGGATTTTTCCACAGGAAAGAATAGCCTTAACTTAAATCACAGCATTAATCAGAACTCTTTTGATAGCAAAAGCTCAAAATCGAGCTCAGAGTAGGAAACTGTGTATGTACATCATCATCGTCTCTTCCTCCTTCTGCCCCTCCCCCTTCTCCCCCTTCCCCTCCTCTTTCCCTGCCCTCCTCCTCCTGCTTCTCTTCTCCTCTTCTCTTCTCCCCAGGTGCTCCCCCCCCCCAACCCCATCTCAATATCTGTCCCTCTCTCTTTCTTTCTCTAATGTACTAACTTCATTCCTGGGTGGTTGACTTCATTCTCACATTCTCTCAGTGTGATGGCAAAGATAGCCACTGGCAACTCTAGACATGCATCATGCATCATTCCTAGAGCTTGTGATTCCAGAAAAAAAAAATAAAAAGGTTCTCTCTGCCCCTCCATCAATTTCATTTCTCAGAAAGGCTCTGATTGGTTCTGTTTTGCAGCCACTACTCTGTCCAGATGAGAGTTACTCAGATTGGGCAGACTATGAGGGGAGGAAGAGCAAGATTAACATAGCAAGGTAATGTCAATAGCAGAGGCTGAAGGGAATTTAAACAGGCAAAATATAACAGGGCTCCCAACAACCACCACAAATTTCCAAATTGTTTAAGCAGAGTGATATGTTATGGGCTTCTATCAAATATGTTTGTCTTGGTAAACTTCGTGGAGCCTATGAACATACATACAGGCAATATTAACTTATTTAGTCCAAATGTGCTCTGTACATAACTATAAAACATTTGCAGCAGCAAATTGCAACCTTGAGTGTATCATGGAGATTAATTGCATTTTCTTAACATTTTCTGTGATCATTTAATACATGGCATACATCGGGAAGGTCAGCATTTGGACTCATGTGGGAATCTGACATTTAAGAAATTATTTAAGATCATTACAAATGGGGGTTTGGTAAAGAAGGCATAGTGATTATATTCTGTAGTCCAGTGTTTATCCTCAGCCACCATATGTTTAGGCTGTTCTGTTACAGAAAATTTTATATCCCTTCCACTTTCGCCTCTAATATTAGGGAGTTTTATGTTGCTGACATCCTAATCATATAAAATTATATAATGGCTGTAATTATATACAGATATGACAACTTATTTGGCTATATTTGTAGAGAGAGATGTAATTATATCTCTATATAATTGTGTCTATTATATGATTATATATGTATTATATATGTATCTATAATTATATCTATAATTATATCTATATATACTTGTAGCCATTATATGGTTTTATATGATTAGGATGTCAAACTGTTCCCTTCTTGGCTTGTTGTTTATTATGGTATGACCTGGGCAGTTTTAAACATTATACTATCAAGAACTACTATTTAGGGATCTTTCTCAATGAGAAAAAGATTAATTTGCTATGAATAATGATTCTAATGCAAAACATTTTGGGTGTTTTTTTTGTGATGCAGATGAGCAATGCTATAAATATAATTTAGAGAGTTTGAAAATTGATTTTAACACTCACAATTCTTCTCCTTAATCAAATTACAAAATTATGCTGTGGTTTCAAGTATATTAAAATAAGTTGTCATATTTTAAACATCTGTTTATGCACTTATTATGAATATGTGTTTCTAAATGTCTGAAATATAGATTACCATAAATAACGTTTGTTATTTATTCTGTGAAAGTACTATACCTACTTCCTCCCTCAACGCTTGTTTATTTCCCACAAAGTAAATTTTCCAGATTGCATTTTAGCGTTTTCTTATCACGATGGAGGCGGAAGGACCAGGGTTTTAGTTAAGGCTTGCTGATTGGCTAAGA